TAAAAAAAAAAAAAAAGAATCCTAATTCCCCACACATGCATCCTTTTGCCAGTTTCAAGAACAAATCTACTGAAGCCAGGTGAGGTAGTAATACCAGCTGCTCAGGAGGCTGAAGCAGGAGGATTACAAGTTTGAAGCTAACCTGAGCAACTTAGTAAGATCCTATCTCAAAACTGAAAAATAAAAATAAAAGTGTATGGGATTGAACTCAGTGATACAGTACTTGTCTAGCATATGCAAGACCCTAGAGTCGATCCCTAATACCACTGAAGAAAAAAAAAATTACTGATAGCAATACTATCCTCCATTTTTTAGCTCAAAATGTCACTATCACAACAAAAAATTAATTAATAGTCCTGATGAAAAGAGCTAGTAAAGATCACTTGCTGTATCTGGACATGCTCTGTCTTATAACAAGGAATATACATTCTTCATGGATGAAATTCCTGTCTCTAAATATTCCCTATACTCTGCTACCTTATGCAAGTACTCAGTAGTTGTCAAAACTGAATCCTTACAAGAGAACACTGGTTTTTGTTTGGTTGGTTTGGCTTGGTTGTTGTGAAACTGGGGCACATTGTATAGTTCAGGCGGGCCTCAAACTTGTAGTGATCTTCTCTCAGCTTTCCAAATGCTAGGTTTACAGCCATGCACCACCACACCCTGTGGAAGACGGTACTGTTAAAACAGGACAACCTTCTCCAGTTTTCTGTGTCTCTGTGTTAGTGTTTTTCCCATGATTGACTAATCCTTGATGTAATCTCTGTATACTCAGTCATTACAGGACAATGATGATGATATTAGTAACCACAAAGTAGTAACAATAATAGAGAAAGTTAGCAAGTGCTGATTTCCTAATAAATGACCTCTGGGAGATCTACTGTTTATAAACAAAGGACTTTGGTGTGGTAAATTTATGCTGTTTTGATATTCTAATTAAACCCACAGTATCATATATGACAAAAAAGCCAATGAACACACTTGTGACAATAGTGATTCTGCTCTTCCAGAACTTCAGAGTGATATATCTATGCAAAACTCAACCAGCCAGAAAGCAGTCTGCTAGATCTTTGCATTTTACTTTGCCATACTCTTTTCTCCAATTTAGATTACCACTAGCACAAGGTGAGGTGAAAGTTCACACTAGACCAACACAACTTTCCCCATCCCTAATGCATTTAGAGTGACCAACTTCAAAATCTTCTCTAGATTATAATACACACACACACACACACACACACACACACACTACAAACCTTTCCAAGTATTCAGGGTCTTTTGTTTTTGTTTTTCAAGGCAGGTTCTCACTATGCAGTCCAGTCTGGCCTCAAATTCACTATGTGTGCTAAACTGGCCTTCAATTTACAGTGATCCTCTTGCCTCAGCATCCTAAGTGCTGGGATCACAGGCATGCACCACTATGCCCAGCCTCTGGGTCTTTATCATAAAGTCAGACTCCTTAGCCTATGATTCAAGCTCCTGATAATCTGATCCTACAGAACTTAATCTCATATCCTACTATACCCTCCATCCTACAGACAAATATTTCCTAGAAAACACCATGTCTCGAACATACGATAGTTGGGACTGATGGGAATTTTTTTTTTTTTTTTTTTTTTGACTGGGGATCGAACTCACAACCTTGCATTTGCCAAGCAGGCAGCTATGCCACTGAGCTAAACCTTCTGCCCCTTATGGAAATATTTTAAAAAGTGAATTTACTCTATTTCCACCTCAGCTTCTATGCTCAACCTGGTCCCTTTCCTAGGAATGGCATTCTTTCCCAAACTCTTACCCCATAAAAACTTGCTAGCTAGGCATCAAAGCCACATGCTTATAATTGCAGCACTCTGGGAGGCTGAGACAGAAAGATGACAAGTTTAAACCCAATCCAGGGAATTTAACAACTTTGCAAAATCTTGTCTCAAAAAATAGAAGTGCTGGGGATGTAGTTCAGTATCAAAGCTATGGATTTAATCTTCAGGACTAAAACTAAGAAGAATTTCACATATTAAAACCTGCTGTTCAGATGTCCCCTTTTCAGCAAAGCTGCCCTGAATTTCTGGTCATCCCCAAATAATTATTGAGCACTTACATATAAGATACAGTGTAGGTGCTGAAGGTACAATAAGGATGAGCCAAACAAGGTCTTTACCTTCATCCAACTAGTACCTACTTTACTAGGTTGCCATGAGAATTAAATCAGACAAAATACATAAAGCATTATAAATAGTACATACTACAGTCATGTTGAATAAATACTAATATTGCTGCTTAGCTAGTCTATCTAAAATAACTGCCACACATATGATACATCACTTTATATCTGTCCCTGGTTTATGTTTTCTTGGTAAGTATAACTATTTCTTGTTATGTATTTATAGATTTATTTTTTGTCTATCCCCACCTCCTCCTTCCATCATGTCTTTTTTTAACCACTGTAACCGCAGTGCTACAACATACCCTGGCCCTTAGCAGCTGCTCAGAAATCACCTCTGTGTCAATTTTTACACTCTGGAGATGCAGACTTGAATCAAATAATCACAACAAGAAACACAAAATTACAATTGATATGTATACTACCACATATGCTGTTATGCCTGGCCATAATAAACATCTGAAAAATACAAAATGCAAAGTTTTAAAATAATTATTCATACATCTCTATTTACTGAGTGCCCACTAACTCTAGTGCACAGGAAAACAAAAAAGTAGCTCCTACAAATGATTTCCAATTCACAAGCTAGTATTTTGCTTTCTCTTTATCTCTCCTGTACATGCACTCTGTGAATATATGTTTTAATAAATGAAGAAAATCAAGTTAGTTGGATGCAAAGTTTAAACATATTATATAATGCCTAATACACCTATGGCTTGAATGCATCTCCCAAATTCAGTTGGAAAAATGGATGTGAGGGGAAAAAAATTCAGTTGGAAATCCAAACCCTTAGATCACCAAGGCAGAACCCTCACAAATGTTATCAGTGCCTTTACAAAAGAAGTCCTGGCGTTGCCCTGGTCCTTCCACCATGTGAGAACACATGGAGAGGATGCCACCTCTGAATCAGAAAGCCAGTCTTCACTAGACAATGTGCCAGTGTCTTGATCTTCCAAACCTCCAGAACTCTCAGAAATAAATTTCTGTAGTTTATAAGCTACCCACGGTATGGCATTTTATTAGAGCAGCCAGATTAGACTAAGGTGGTATCTTTCCAGCCTCATTTCCCACTATACAACCTCATTCCTGCAGCCTTCCATGCTACATAAAGGTAATCTTGCTTTCATATATCTTGATTTCTTTCTACTTTCTATTTACACTCAAAATGAAGCTTTTCCCCACTCCCAAAATGATCTATATGAATCTATTCATCTTTGAGGGCCCGCTCAAGTGATACTTTTGGATCCTAAATATCCAAAGAGTTATAAACTTGTCCCTCTATACTAATATATTTATTCTCAGTGAGAGGCCAAAAATCTCTGAGGGACTTCCCAGAAGTCTAACAAATTGATTTAAGTAGGATGGCTCTTTATTCTAAAAAGAGTATCACCGTGTTTCTCTAATTTCCTTTCTTGCAGTTAAAAAAAAAATCTCAAAACTCACTCTTTATGTGTAGTCCAGCTGCCTCCCATTTCTGTCAGGTGGAAAAATGAAATCATAAAAGTCCATCAGCCAAGCACCTACTTGACCTGGACCTCGGAAATAATAGCAATAAGCAACACAGTTGCTGCTAGAACTTGTTTCTTTCAGGAGAGAAACACTTTAGCTCACAGTGACAGTGCGATGCAGGGTGAAGAAAGGGAAAAAGACACAGGAAAACGGCAATCTATAAATGCAAGAATCACTGAGTTCGGAAGAGTTTACAGATTAAATGATCTGACAGTAAGTCACTTTGCTGAAACTCAGATGCGAGGAAAATCCTGACTAACGTAGAACATGAGTACCAGGATATAGTTTTAGCTAGAATGTCATATTCCTCTCAGAATAAAAAAAAAATTCGCCTGCAGTATATAATAGATTTTTCAATAAATCGGTAGCAAACTACATATAACCCAAACCTAATGAAAACTAACTTAAGTCTGAATCCATTTTTGAAACAGGAAGAAAATCTGCAAATAGAAGATCTGTTGTAGAATAAAATGAACCCTTTAGAAGGTAATAAAAAGACTAACACTCTGACTGCCAAGCTGATTTTCAGTTCTGAAATGTCCTTGGTCTCTGCCTCCAAACAAAAACAATTCATTTTTTCCTAAGTATTAACAGTTAAGCTTGTAAATAAACCTCTTAACTTCCCAAATTGGATCTCTAAAAGACACTCGAATTTCAAAACAAAAAAAATTTTAAGCTATTTCTGTGAAAAAGGTTACAGTACGCCTGCAAGCCCGCACCTCACCACTCTGCTCCACACACCATCCTTCAGGTCTAGCCATGACACTCGGCAGTAAAGCTTCCAGGCTCTCTGTCTTCCATACCTCCAGTCTCCCCTTCGCCCCCCCAAAAAACAAAAAAACAAGAAGAAAGAAACGGAGTCCACTAGTCCCTGTCTCCCCATTCCCCCAACACCTGGGAAGCAGCAGCCTTCACACTGCTGCTTCTGAGACCCCGAAGCCCTGCGAGGAAACGAGGACAGCGGGGTCGGCGAGCGGCACCGGAGCGCGGCCGGCCAGGAACGCTGGGGAGGAGGGGCAGTGGTAAATGGTGAGGTGGGGAAAGGGGGAGCAAAGTGCAGGCGCGGAAAACAGAGAAGAAAAGGGGGATGGAGTCCAGATCCCAGAAGAGCGACTGGGCAAAATGGTCGAGGAGAAAAGAGAGGGAGGGGGCTGTCCCCGGGCGTGGGGTGTCACCTAGGAGGTCTCCCCGGCAGGTGGACGGGGAGCGCGGGGCGCCACGGGGGCTGGACGCGAGGGTGCGGCACCGGCCGCGGAGCGGGCAGGGCCGCCGGGGACCCCGGGCCGAGGGAGGGGCGGGCGGCGGCGGCGGCGGGCAGGCCTCTGTCCCTCACCATGGCTGCGCCGACCTGCTCCTCCGGCATGCAGCTTCTGTCCGGCGTGCGGCGGCGGGCCGGCCCCGAGTCCGCCCCCAGGCTGAGCCGGCGCGAGGGCTCCAGGGGCTCGGGCGAGCGGCGGCTCCGGGCTCGGCCCAGGCCTCAGCCTCCTTGGCTCCGAAGCTGGAAGGGCAGCTGCAGCCGCAGCCAGAGCCGCGCGCAGACTCCGCCCCCTACGAGGCCCCGCCCACTCGTGAGCCGGGCCCCGCCCCCGCCTACCGCGCACACTCGGCTGCGCCCCCTCGCTCCCGCCGCCACCCGCCTGGGCCCTTAAAGGGGCAAGGCCCGTTCAAATTCGCCTAGCCCTTTAACAAACGAAAGAGCTTTAAATCTTACGTCACGACCAGAGGACTAGCTGCGGTTGGCTATAGATCTTTGTGTATTTCTGTCGCCCACGCTGTTCTTTCAGGTTTTAGTTTATGACTGTAACTCAACTACTGTCTTTATTTTTGGCGATTGCAAGGTCTTTGATGATTCTGCCAATGCTCTGGCCTCATTCACATGCTTGTGCCTTTATTTAGTACAAATAATTGTAATCTCTCTGTCTCTGTGTGTGAGCGTGTGTGTGTGTGTGTGTGTGTGTGTGTGTGTGTGTGCGCGCGCGCGCGCGCCTTTACGCTTCAACTCAGGGCCTCACATGTGCTAGACAAGCGCTGTATCACTGAACCACATCCCTAGTCCCCGTAATCTCCATTTTAATCATGATTTCCACCACATTCATCTTTCTTTCTAGGTCACTCCTACAATATTCCAACTCTAAATATTCAACCGCACCAAGCCCCAAAATCGATGTTCTACTACCTTTTTTCTGTCCCTCATACTCCCTTCCTGCCCTCCCTTCATTCCTTAGTTTAGATTGTACTTCCCATGACGAAAATTATCCCCAGCTATTCGCTTTCATTTCTCCAGTTATTCTCTCCTTTTTTTTTTTTTCTTTTTTTGTACTGACATAATTCCAGGCCTTTGCCTCTAGCAAAAAGAATGGAGAAATATCTATAGCCATACTGACTATTTGTTGACTGATTCCCCTGAATTTCACATTATGTTCAAATGTGCCCTTAATGCTTGGCTACACTACTACATTTTTCCAGTTGCATCCACTCTCTCACTCTCCTAGATAACTATTTCAGTGCTCGCTCCTATCTCCAAGCCTATATTTCCTCTCTCATGCACATTTAGTTGATTTTGCTTCTAACTCACTAGAAAAATGAAAGAGAACATTTACAACACTTTCAACCAACCTACAACTCTGCTTCTGTACTGCTTCTGTTTCTCTTACAAGCCAATTATTTCTCTTTTTGAGGTTGTTTGGTTTTGTCTGAGACAGTATCTTCCTATGCTGTCCAGGCTACCCTTGAACTCACAGTATAAGCCAGGCTGGCCTCAAACTCGCTAGGATTTTCCTGTCTCAGCTTCTCAAAATGCTCGAATCATAACCATGTGTTCCCACAACCCACTACAAGTAAATTATTGTATTTGGCTTTTTGTTTTTCTTTTAATCAGTGCTTAGAAATCAAACTTCATAAATTCTGGGCAAGCACATTCCCAGCTCTGAATTTGTTGACTTATATCAAACCCTGCTCAAGTTATCTTAAATTGTCTGTACTAAAAGTAAATGACAGTTTTTCTTCCAATGTCACACATATAGTTTTGTAAAATACAATAAAACATATATACTAGAAAAAACTTGAAAAATAGATAAATCAATGCCCAACACCTTTTGGTTTTCTAGTTTTTTGTGGGGTTCTGTTTTTGTTTTTGTTTTTTTGTTCTGAGAGTGAACTCAAGGCTTTACACATGCTAAGTATGTGCTCTATCACTGAGCTACAACCTTGGCACTTAGATATTTCTTTTAATTATTATCGGGCCCTAGACCAACAGTTGCCATTGTCTGTGTTAAGGGTACAGTGAGAAAAATAAAAAACAGAGACAAGTTTAATAACACATGAATGGCTGGAAAGTCAATGTCTCCTAATGGATCCTTCTCCTCACACTTCAAAATAGCCACTGTTTATTGGGTATATACAATGATAGGAGGGGCTAACAAAAGATTCCAATTTGGAGGAAGACTAGAAGTTCGTGATTCTATGGGCATGTATAATCCTGGGATGACTCAAGAGGGTATAGATGATCATATGCTAAGAGGAGACAATGAGAAATCTCAGACTGGTGGTACCAATGATTCCAAACTTACATTTTATCCCTTAGGGAAGTATGCAAAATTAGCCATTGTGAATTTGTGGTCTCCTACAAATCATCTCTGCCATTTTCAAGCATATAGTTTGTTGACATTAAATACATTTGTATTGTCATGTAACCATCACAACCATGCAGCTATATAACGATTCTCATCTGGCAAAACTGAGACTCTGTACCTGTTAAACATTAACTCACGATTCCCTCCTCCTAACCCATAACTACCCAACACCACCACCACCCAGTGCTGGGGACTAAATCCAGGACCTTCAGTGGCTCCTATCTCCAAACTGCACCTCCTGGCCAACACTACTCTACTTTCTATGTCAATGAATTTGACCACGCTGAGATTATTTAAATTATTAGGTCCAATAATGCAAAAATTTCCTGTATGTTGGTGCACACATGGGTCGTCTCAGTTACTCGAGAGGCTGAGTTGAAAGGATCACCTGAGTGTAAGAGTTTGAGACCAGCCTAGGAAGCACAGCAGGACTCCACCTCAGAAAGGAAGAAAGAAAGGAAGAAAGAAAGAAAGAAAGAAAGAAAGAAAGAAAGAAAGAAAGAGAGAAAGAAAGAAAGAGAGAAAGAAAGAAAGAAAGATTTTCTGTCAAAGGGTTCTCAGTATCTACTCTCAATTTCTGTGTAAACCGGTGACAACCCATTCTCAGACTGCCTCTGGTCCATTGTACTTCCAGGAGCACCTGCTTTCTGCCTAGGATGGTTTCACAGACCCAAATGCACCTATTCAGCAGCCCCTTTTCTCTCCCAAGCCCCTATTTCTTTCAGTTTTCCTTTTTCATTGTTATACCAATATGAATTAATTTCTTCCATATTAAAAAAATACAAATAAAACTCTTCTTAATTCTGCTTGTCACTTAGGCTACTACCTGGTTTTCCTAACCTGCTTTACAACAAATACCTCAGAAAGAGGCCTGCGCTTTCTTTTCAAAAGCTCTGAGTGAGACCCACTGAGATCCCTTGTAATTGACGTGTCATCTCCACCACTCCACCAAAGTCCTCCTGTCCAGGCTACTAGTGGTATCCACTCACTCACAGCAGGTAGCCTTCAGTCCACACTGCATTTGACCCCCAGAGCATGCATAGCTCCTCAGCCCCACCCTGGCCCTCACCAATTGTCCCTAGTGTCACCTCATTTCTCTGACCTCTAAATATAGTACTGCATGCCCCTAGAGGTCAACATCTTGCTTTTCCTCTTAAACATCTCACTGATTCATGATTGTACCATTTTTTTTTTTTTTCTACTATAGGTATTTGAACCTAGGAACTTGGCAGGGACCTCCAGTCCCTAATCTCCCTCTTTTTTTTTTTTTCAGTTTTGACATATGGTTCTGTAAGTCATTAACAGGCTGTGATCTTCCTGCCTCTGTCTCCAAGAGTGCTGGGATCATGGACATATACTACTAGGTCCAGCTACATTTTTTCATGTTACATTAAGTATAGCCTATGCAGCAGTAACTGGCCCAAATTATACTTCAATTCTTGACCTCTCTCCTGAATTCAGATTTATACATCCTACCGTCTACTAAACATAATTCTCATGTGTTTAATGGCCAGGATTTTTCCTAGGAGTCACTTGAAAGTCTTCCTCCTTTCAAGCACTATTGGCAATGGATAAGCCAGTAACTAATGAAGGAAATAAGACCCCCAAAATTAGCTTAGACCAATCAAGATTTACTTTCTGTGTCTGTCATGGAAGTCACTTTCTCTAAGGAATGGTGGTTGTAAAGTAAAATCACTATTAAAAATTAGAATTATTCTGATGATTACACATTGTATACATGCATTAAAATGTCACCTTGTACCAAATATATACAATTATTATATGAATTAAAAATCTTTTGCAACTAGGTTTGATGGTGAAGTCTGAAGGCTGAGTTAGGAGGATCATGAATTTGAGGTCAGCCTGGGCTATGTAGTGACTATAAGCCCAGGCTGGATCAGTGAACCCTGTCTCAAAACACCAGAAACAAAAAATTTTGCGGGGCTGGGGATTTAGCTCAGCGGCATAAGTGCCTGCCTTGCAAGCAGGCAGTCGTGAGTTTGATCCCCAGTACCGATAAAAAAGAAAAAAACAAAAAAAAAACACTGAGGCAGAAGACAACCCCATCTATCTGTATAGGGTAGAAAGTCCAAAAATACATCTGAATACATCAAAGAATTCAGTATGATAAAAGTAGAATTTGAATCAGCAAGAAAAAGGTGTGATATTTGGTGTTAGAATAACTGGATAGCCACCTAAAAACCTTTAATTTAGAGCTATGCCTCATGCTATTCAGCAAGATAAATTTCAAACAATCAAATATTTGAAGGTTAACAAAAGGGGGTTGGGCAGGCATGGTGGTGCACACCTGGAATCCCGGCAATCAGGAGGCTGAGGGAGGAATATGGCTGTGAGTCCAAGGCCAGCTTGGGCTACAAAGTGAGTTTAAGGCCAGTGTGAACTGCATGATGAAACCCTATCTCAAAAATACAGAAAAAAATAAAAAATAAAAAACAATGGCTGAGGATTTAGCTCAGTGGCATAAGTGGCTGTCTGGCAAGACCAAGGTCATGGGTTCAATTCCTGGTACAAAAGAAAAAAAAACAAAAATAATCTTGGCTGGACAATGTGGCCTATGCCTATAATCTCAGCACACTAGGAAACTGAAACAATAGGATCAAAAGTCTGAACCCAGCCTGGGCAATTTGGAAACTCAGTAAGACTCAGTGGGGAGGGTGGGGACTAGAGATGAAACCTGGGAGTACTCTACCACTGAGCTACATCCCCAGCCCTTTTATTATTTATTTATTTTTTATTTTTATTTTGAGACAGGGCCACTCTCAACCACTAACTTGTACCACCATGCCAGGCTTTATCAAATTTTTAAACAATTCTACTTTCCCTGTCACCCAATAATTCTACTTCTAAAACAGTAATCTACACATATCTTCAAGCATATGTACAAAACTTATTTGAAAT